AGACAATGACAGAGAAGATCCATGCCCATCACATACCGTGACAGAAAAAATCCATACCCATCGCAGACCGTGACAGAGAAAGCCAGAACCCATCACAGATCGTGACATAGACAATCCATACCCATCACAGACGATGACGGAGAAGATCCATGCCCATCACACACCGTGACAGAGAAACCCAGTACTCATCACCGTTCGTGACAGAGAAAATCGATACCCGTTGCAGACCGTGGCGAAGATATCCATAACTCATCACAGTCGGTGACAAAGAAGATATATGCCCATCACAGACCGTTACAGAATATCCATGCCCACGGGAAAGAGACATTTCGCAGTAACTTTTCATTACGATTTGCCTGAGGAGATGTTCGTTACGATTTCCCGACATATAAAAACATACATGCTCTTCGGAATGACAAAAATTTAAAACAACCTGGGTGTTCGAAATGAAAGTTGTCCAATAGGCCATAACGGGCGGCAGTTTTTCTGAAAAACAAAAAACTGAAATTTGCGTGGCGTTCGGGATGAAAATGACCGGAAGATCGTAATGAAAAGAGGCAGGATGTTCGTAACTATGTTCATGTGTACACTTTTCGAGAGATTTCAAATGACTCAGTAGCTTGTATTTAAAGATAATAAACAGAACAACGTTCAAATGAACACATTTGCAAGCGGAGATTTTTAATTATGTAGTATTTCCATTCTCCTTAAGACAGCGCAATCTATAAGTATTATGATATACTTACGATCTCCAGGTAAAACGAGTTTACGGACATCCGGCCATTTTCGTCCCGATTTCCTGACAGTATTTTACATATTGTCGACCATTTCATTCCGATTTCCCTGTATTTTTTAATTACGATATCCTGACCAACATGTGTTACGTACTCCCGGTAAATGTTTTTAAAGGCAAAAATCAATTCCGAATACCTCAACGGATTACTGGGTGTCCGGGACACTGGTACGAAATGCCTTCGTCCCATGCCCACCACAGACCTTGATAGAGGAGGTCAATGGCGATCATAGATCATGACAGAGAAGATGGATGCGCATCACAGCCCTTGACAGAGAAAATCCACACACATTGCGGACCTGGTGAAAGAAACCCCGAAGTCGTCATAGACGGTGACAGAAAATCCATATTTCGATAGATTCCAGCACCGTATATCAATAAAATCTCGTTAGAAAATGTGTACCAGTTACATATGGTAGTTCGATGAGATTTGGTGAAGGTATGAGAACAATTTCATCGAAAGACACGTCGAAAGAAGTGATTTTGATGTGTTTAGCAACAGCAACTGAGTCGTGCATAATATTTTTAATCCCAAATGGATTGCGCTAAGAGCTTTTTTAAATTGAGTTCATGTAAATGCACAGGAACTCTTGCTGAGTATAATTGTGCTCGTGGAATTGGTTTTACTGGAAGACATTTTTACAGGTGTTGGTCTAGAATTTTAGAGAAGGAGACAATAAGTCACTTAACATAATAAGTTTAGCGATTGCCTTTTTAGCCTATCAACTTCAATCTAACATTATTTCTTCGACTCAGTAGATTGGTGGGAAAATTCTAGCAAACGTTATTTGTTGCTATTATCTAAAATTCTGATTACAATCACGGAAAACTTGAAGTAAATGGCATCACCAGTACTTTCTTCTGAAAGCATCAACATTAGCATGGCTGCCGATGTGACAACAAACACAAACAGTGAGCAATTCGTCATTGACCTGGCCGACATGCTCGAACTGGATGCCGGATCTGACGAGGTTCATGATATTGCTCGTGATCTCATCATGGGAGGTCGACAGGGCCTCAAGCAACATGCTAGTGATATTGACGAAGACACTTACACAACTCTGATGGAAAATGATCATAGTAATTTGCTGACCTTACTTGAGAAAGCTATTCGCTATGAATGGACGACAAAGGAGCCTGCTTGGCTTGAAACTTTTCTAAACAAACAAGAAATAGAGAAACCTGACGCCTACAAGCGCATTATGACGTTAGTCGCCGAGAATGGTTGTGTTTGGATGCGAGGATGTGTTGCCCTCGCCTTAGTTATTCAATTTCAATATACAGCTGTCGACGATACCGATATTCATCCGAATGGCAAGTTCGATAAAATGTGGAACAAGGTGACAGAATACGGTCGAAAAGGTTGTCTGGAAGTTCCTGCAGTAGACGACGACGACTATCTTCTTTTGGCTTTGAAAGAATTTTATCGAGACGAGCTAATGAAACGTCTGCAATCTATTAATGTAGCCGATAATAAACGAACCGTGATTTTTAGTCTCGCCATTGATCTGGTAGCATTGAATGGATGGGATGGTTTGAAAGATAAAGAAATAGAAAAGAAACTACCGAAAAATGCTTTTAGCAAATTAATAGGGGGGGGGGGGGAGAGCAGGGGCAATCCGTCTCCGCCGACCCATCCAATTCCACAGCCCAACGTCACTTCTCCATCGAATACAACAAACACTCATGTCCAGTTCGCTGAAGAACTAGCCATGGTCCAATCTTGTATCAACGGCAAGCCTAAATTAACAATGAAAGATCTTACTCAAGCTGGTGAACTAATGTACACTACAGACACTCTGACGAGTATTTCGAACCGACTTTTGAACGATTTCAGTACCAATCACAAGCAATTTTCGACTCTGTTGAAAAATTGTTTCATCCCTATGATGTACTTGTTGAAGCGTGAACTCAACCTACTAGATTTTATCAAATTGATCAAACAAGGGCTGAGGACAGATCGTAAGAATCCGCGACCGAGTCAGCGCATGCTTGTCGATATTCTACTAAAGAATTCCGAGAACTTTCTAGCTCAAACACTCGTTAAACTACTGTCGAAACGAAATCCTGTACCGTTGTTTGAAGTACACGAACAAAGTCAAGAATTTATACCATACATTGTTCATGTGTGGGACTATGACAAACCTACGGTTCTTTCTTTCGGCATCGGCAAGTGTGCTGGCAAGTCTTCACTACTCAATAGCCTCTTTCTCTCCAACTTTGAACAAACAGTATCAAGCAGTTATTTTCAACAAACTATCGACATTGACTTTGGCTACAATTTTATTCCCCCAAGGCCCATTAATGTTGCCGATGTTCACGGTCCAATGTCGCTTAACGTACTCACGAAAATTAGCAGTCTTTTTGATAGTTACATCATTCATGTAAACGCAGCATTCTTGTTTACTAATTTGCCTTTCGTGGAGCAGTTCCTTGCTCAGCTTCCCAACAATGCTTATCGTTATCTTCTTGTACGCGACTCAACTTTAGACGAAGATGACACGGCTCTTGATCAACTGCCAATTAGCGGGAGGCTACTTGTTCCTCAAATCAGTGATAAAACTACTGACGATAGCCAGTTTTACCTCAAGGAACTTCTCAAAGTTGTATATGATACAACCCATTTTACTACACGAAGACTATCCAAGGATAATCTTGTATCTGAATTTCACAGACTTCTCTCGCCTGAACATCTCAACATACTCAATCAGGAAAACGAATTAATTCGTTGTATTACACCAACATTAATCAATGGTCACAAGAATCACTTTCCGTTATACGATATCTTTGTTGAGATGTGCAAAAAACGCGACGAATTATCGCGTATCGATTTCTACGGTTCACAAGATAATGAAGCCATGTTCAACACGCAAGCTGCTTTGTATGAGCTGGAAGTGAAACTGAAACCGATCGGCGGAAATCAAAAAGACTGCGGAGAAGCGTTTAGAGTATTCTTTGAACTTTTGCAGAAGCCCTCCAAATTTAGTACTTTGAGTGTCCTTGCATCAACTCTGAAGCAAGAGATTGACAAGAAACTGAAAGCTTGTCAAAGAGCAATCGATCTACCTTATGAACAACGACTCTCTATGGAAGCTCATTGGCGAAATGCAATTGTCTGCTATGAGCATATACCTAGTGATCAACAAAAACAAGAGCTTGTTCAACATTACCAAGATATGGTTGCCACTGGTCAACCTTTTGAAATCATCGATGGTGACAACTTTTATTATCAGTCAAGCTTTCTCGAGAAAGTGATGGTTAACATGCAGGGCGTGAGATTCTTTGTCATCAGCATTATCGGTCCACAAAATAGTGGCAAAAGTACTTTACTCAACTATATGTTTGGAACTCTTTTCGACGTTCGGGATGGTCGCTGCACACGCGGTAAGTCATCTACTTGATAATTAGTTTTGCAAAATCTTTCAGCATCCATCAGAAAATTTTCAGCAAAAAAAGTGTTTTCCAAATCACTGGACAGTTAGCATGACGTGTAGATATCTCACAATGGACTGAAGTGAGCCTGCATTCTTTAACACTAGAGCTTATAAGGACAGGACTTACACGAAGGTGGTCGATAACAGGTTCATAAACATTCACACATAGATTTCACCTGGAAATTTCCACCGTGAAGAATTACGAGGTCATCTCAATCGGGAGTGGTAGCTTCTTCGTAAAATTTCGTAGTAGTTGCGAAACGAGTTGATGCCGACCTTCTCAAATGGATTGCGCGTCTTTTAAAATAAATTCGATGAAATGTTCCTCAGAGGGAAGCATTTCGTATCACTTTTCTTTCCATAGAAACTGTAGCACCCCTTTTTTTTCGAAAAATTCAGAAATGCCTAACAAAAGTCGCGTGAGATTCTAGAAAATAATACATTCACTGTCACAAGAAACTTGGGGATCCAGTCCACCGACTACTATACTTATGATGACTGGTGGTTATGAAACAACCATCTATGCTCCTCTATCCAACTTCATACAATCCGGTCATGTATTTTGCTTTTCTCTTTTCGAAGGTGTTTATGGATCAATGGTCAAATCAAATCGACCTGATTTCGACTATATCATGTTGATCGACACAGAGGGCTTACTCTCGGTTGAAAAGAACGATGAAGAATACGATCGTCGTTTAATATTGTTCTGTCTAGCCGTGTCACATCTCGTTATTGTTAACGTTGCGGGAGAAGTAAACGCGACACTAATGAAAATGCTTATTCTTTGCACGGATTCACTGCAAAAACTGGGAGTAAGCAAAGTGCATCGTCCCCCTGTGCATATTGTTCTCAATCAGAAAGCCAATCCTGATGTTGAAATGAATAAAGCTGCTATCAACAAAATCAAAGAAGAACTAGAAAAGGTCAAGCTGGACAAAGAAGTTGAACTCAATGACAAAACGTTTCATACTCTTCCATCCGCATTCAAGAAAGAGCATTTTCCCGGTGATCAAGTGACAGCAAAACTTTTGCGTACCGATCCCGATTTTATCGAGAACGTACAACGCCTATGTGAACAGTTTGTAAGCACAGCTGCCAAAAGTTTGGAGCAAGCACGCGAACAGTTCTCTGATCCTTTTCGATGGGTGAAATTTGCCGCAACCGTACTTGAAATACTTCGAAAGTTTCCTGATATGACATATTTCAATGATATTCGCGAACGTGAACAAGATGATTTAATGCGCGAATGGATTCGGAAGATTCTTGAGCAGACGTTTACTGTCCGTCTTCGTCAAGACTTGCTCAATGATGCGGTCGGGCAATCTGTAAGAGAAACCAAAACTATCTTCGAGTTGAAATTCCAGACATTGAAGGAGAATCTCACTAATGAGCTCAAAAACCAGTTAAAACTTACAGCAGCTATGGAAACTGTTCGGAAACGTTCGGAAACTTTTCTCAATGCTCAAATTAACAGTCTTCTCTATGCCTGGATAGAATCAGCTATCATGAATAATGAACGCCATCAATTAGAAGAATTGGTGCACAAAGGTGAGACACAGTTTCATGATATTATTCAACAGACAATTGAAGCGATAAGAAAAAACGAACGTCATCATCTCGAGAAGCTCGTGCCCAACGTTGATACTCAGTTCCTCAATGACATTCAAGCGACAATTCGAGACACTAGTCGATTGAGTGAAGAACAAGCCGGAAATATTTTCGACAAAATATGGAACAACACTTATCCTCGTGTAGCATCAGAATTCAAACATGATAACCAAATTCGATCAGCTTTACAGTTTGTCTATCGCAATTATCATATCTTTGAAAAATCAAATCTGCCAGACATCAGGGCTTTGTTACCGTTACTTGGTGACATTCCTCGATCGACGGAAGCTACTCCAGCCACGCCTCGATCCAACGTCGACAGAATGGCACAAGAGCAGAACGATATGCAAATACTTCGGACAATACAGAAAAAATGCATTCAAAACATGTCTAGTCACACTCCCATCGAAGAACTTCCGTTTAAATATGATACAACGGCCGAATACACGCGAATGACAATAGACAGTTTTACACATTTATATGTTCCCACTATTATCAAGGAATATGATAGGTATCATAAAGACGGAAGGACGGGTATTTGGTCTCGAGAATTCCATCTACACTTAAGACGATTTATTCTTAAAAAAGATTCTGCGCCCACTACAAATGATGAACAGTTTGGCATTTGGAAAAAACTATTGCATGTTGAAAAAGACTTTGACAAACTTCTTCATATTATATGCAGTCTGGTAGTTTTGGACAGAACAGGCGCTCGTTTTCGACCAGTAAACATTGATTTGGTTCAACAACTTGTCGGGATGGTTCTCGGCCATATTCGTGAAATCAACAATGAACTTGATATATTCAAGTTGGCTGCTTCGAAACATTATCTGGGGATGGTGCACACATATACCGTTCTTGTCCTGACAAAATTCTACTATGATGAACAATGGCGCTTTTTCGACGAGGTTCTTGTGAAAGTGCGCGAAAAACAGCCTGGTTGGCGGGCCTACTTTATTGCAATGGTAACCCAGGATCAAAAATCAGATCCAAGGTTTGCTGAGGATTTAGTCAAAGTGTTCATCGATTCTGTAATTCAATATTTTCAAACAAAAGTAAAAGAGAAAATCAAGGAACAAATCGACAAAGACAAAAGAAAGCTTGATCGACTTACCATTTTGACCGAACTCGACATAGAAGTAGCCACTATGAAGGATGAAGAATTGTATTATTACATCGAGCATCCAGACAAAACCATTCAGAATAAGTTCGAAAAAATTTGGAGTAGTACAAAGGGAGCGATTGAGTTATTCATTACGCAACAGAAAGAAGAATGCAAATTAATCATCAATCAATTTTTCCAACTTCTTCAAATAATCCAAACAGTCTTGCAGCAGTACCAAGCCGATAAGGTGACCTTCATTAGTGAGCTTTTCAACACATGTGACAGCTCAGATGCTTTGAACATTGCAAATAAGGGTCGGTGCGTATCTCTTCTTCTCTACGGCTACTTCAGCAAACAGAATCCGCTACCCCGTCAATTTCAATTATTTAACGTTACCTACATGCTATCAGAGATCGGCGCGCAGATGATACAAAGTTTGCCATCACCGAGTGATTATGTGACAACAATTCTATCGACGATGACTGACAAATTTAATTCGACACCTATATGCAACCTGGCTACTTTTGTGCAAAAAGGTCTTGATCAAAGGTCCATTGCGACTGAAAGTTTCGAAAATAAATCGAAATATGCTATCCAAGAGTTGGACGACCTCTGTTCTATGGAAGAACAGATATTCGAGAGCAAGCAATGTTCAAGAAAATGTCCCTGTTGTAATCGGATCTGCGATATGGATCATACGAACGAAAGCAAGGAATTCGCTCCTGGTGTAGGTGATAACTTGCACAATTGTCAAATTGGTCATCAATATCGTGCTTTCGCCGGGGTGAAACACATAAACAAAAATGCAGTGACTGGACTTCACGAGGCATCCATGCAGCGGTGTGAAGGGATGCGCGACCGCGACGTGCTATGTATTGGAAACGTGACCAATAGAATGACTTGGGCGGCTTTTAAACTGAGGCACGCAGATTGGCATTGGGCTCTTACACTACATGAGATAGATGCATCCTCAAAGAAACTATCAACCAATCTTCCAACTATTTGGAGACGG